TCTCATTAGATTAGGGTTAAGGTTAAGCATAAAGTTAGTTTACCTTATTTTTATTTTACGGTTGTTCTTTTGACATAATCGTTAAAAATAAAAGTAATAAGGTTCCTAATTATTAATTTTCTTAATCTTACGTTTCTTTTTTTTATTACGAGATACGCTTTAGTTAAGTTTTCATTTTCTATATTTTTTCTTCATCACTATAATGCCGAGAAAAAGAACTCAGCTTTCTCGGCGGACTGCTACTGCAAAGCGGCTGCGAGGTTTGTGCAGCAATGAAACTGAGGATGAAAATATGCACAGGTTGGCTACACAACGAGCAATTACTGAACAAAACCGTGCAAGGGAATCAAGCGTTGAACGTTCGCTGCGTTTAGACTCACAAAATTTCCGAACTTTGGCGAACCGGCAACAGGAATCGAGTGCTGATCGTTCTCAACGTTTGGCTTCACAGAATGCCCAAACATTGGCTAACCGCGATCGGGAATCGAGTGCTGAACGTTCTCAACGTTTGGCCTCACAGAATGCCCGAACATTGGCTAACCGTGATCGGGAATCAAGCGCTGAACGCTCCCATCGATTAGCACAGCAAAATGCCCGATCAACTAGGAATAGAACTCGCAGACAACATAATTTATTAAATGCTGCTTTTACTTATGATTGTACCGTTGACTATTCTGAGCTAAATGATATTGATATTGGTAGAATGGATAAAATATGCAACTTATGCCAAGCAAAAAAATGGGCAGCTGAAACTCCTGGACTGTGTTGTAGTGGTGGCAAAGTAAATATACCTATAATTCCGGAACCAACATCCGTTTTAAAGGAACTGATATCAGGCTCACATCCATCATCTAAGCATATCTTAAATTACTCAAGACAATATAATACATTATTTCAGATGGCTTCATTTGGTGCCAAAGAAATTCGTGAGGGAAACTTTATGCCCACTTTTAAAGTCCAAGGGCAAGTTTATCATTTAATCGGTGACTTACTTCCAGCTGTAGGGGCACAACCCGAATTCCTGCAAATATATTTTGTTTCCCATGCAGATCAGGTATCCTTGCGCTCAAATTTAAACCCAAGCTTGCAAATCGATCTTATCGACGTTCTCCAAACATATCTTCATGATCATAGTACGTATATTCAAAGTTTTAAGTATAATCTAGAAAATAGACCACCGAATGATTTAAAACTTATCATTCATGCTGATGTAAAACCTCCTAATGAGCATAGAGGTCGGTATAATGCGCCGGTAGTAGATGAAGTAGCTGTTCTTATGATAGATGAAGACAAAGGTCCCCGTGATATTGTATTGACTGCGAGAGATGGTCGACTTCAACGAGTTTCTGAAATTCATAGATCTTATGACCCGCTTCAATATGCCTTACTGTTTTCCTTTGGAAACGACGGATACTGTATTAATATTCCACAGTAGAATACTACGGCTACATCTAAAACTGTTTCATGTATGCAGTTTTATGCATTTAGATTCATGGTGAGAATAAATGACTTTAACAGTATACATTATTTCAAAGGATTATTCAACCAATATTGTGTTGATATGACGGCAAAAATGATCTCTGAGAGGCTAGACTTCATCAAAAGAAATCAAAAAAAATTGAGAGCAGAAGAGTACATTCATTTAAGAGATGCCGTCGTAAATGATGGACATGTAAACGCTTCTAATATTGGCCAGCACGTTATATTGCCGTCGTCATTTACAGGATCCCCCAGATTCATGAATAAAAAAGTCAAGATGCCATGACATATGTCAGGAAATTTGGAAGACCTGACCTCTTCATTACATTTACATGTAACCCCGAATGGCCAGAAATAAAAAGTGAGTTATTGCCCAATCAACATTCTTATGATAGACATGATTTAATTTCTAGGGTATTTCATTTAAAACTCAAGAAAATGATGGACCTATTAACGAAGAAAAATATTTTTGGCCCATCGAAAGCCTTTGTTTACAGTGTAGAATGGCAAAAAAGAGGTTTACCTCACGCCCACATTTCATTGTGGCTGGCTAACAAAGTTCAACCAGATTCTATAGATGCAATAATATCGGCTGAAATACCTGACATACAACATGATCCGATTCTTCATAATATTGTCATAAAAAATATGATACATGGTCCTTGCGGATTTCATTATCCTACATCACCATGTATGAAAGAAAACGTTTGTTCTAAAAAGTTCCCTAGGCATTTTATTTCGGAAACACAAACGGGGGATGACGGTTATCCAACCTACAGACGCAGATCTCCAGATAATGGTGGAAACACAGCGATAATTCGTGTAAAAGGTACAGAAATGAGCGTGGATAATCGTTGGGTGGTTCCCTATAATCCACTGCTATCACGAATTTTCAATGCACACATTAACGTAGAATTTTGTCAATCAGTCAAAGCTATTAAATACATCTGTAAGTATATTCATAAAGGTTCTGATCAAGCCACATTTTCGTTACAAAGTAATAACGATGAAGTAGAAAAATATCTAAATGGTCGGTATATAAGTTCCTCGGAGGCGTTTTGGAGAATTTTCCAATTTTCTATTCATGAACGTTTTCCGGCAGTAGTTCATTTAGCCGTTATTTTGGAAAATGGACAAAGAGTATATTTTTATAATAATGAAAATCTCCAAGATCGTGTGAACAATCCTTCATAATCGACACTAACAGCGTTCTTTGATCTCTGCAAAAGCGACGCATAGCGTTGTTTTGTAGATTATGTCAAGACCTTTCAAATTATGTATAGTGTTGCCAGATACGAGCTCTGTAGCGCTTTGTACATAGCCGCGAAATTCAAAAGACAAAAAAGCGGATATTTGACAAACTTATAAATCCCTAACCGACTTTGGGCTTCCTGCAGCAAAAAGAAATAATTCGCTTCTAGACCCGTTAGAAGTAGCGTTGCGAAAACCATATAACATAAATGAATTAAATGAGTATATCACACAAAATGAACCAAGATTAGTTAATGACCAGGTGACAACGTATAATTGTGTCATGAAAAGTGTTCGTTTTAATGAAGGAAGAATTTTCTTTTTGGATGCTCCCGGTGTGACCGCCAAGACGTTTATCACTAATCTTATATTAGCAAAAGTAAGGTCTCTAGGAAAGCTAGCCTTGGCAGTAGCGTCGTCAGATATTGCTGCAACCTTATTAGCAGGTGGACGCACAGCTCATTCCACTTTTAAACTGCCCCTAACTGTGTCTTTAGAGAGAGATAGCGTGTGCTGTATACGCAAAAATGGCCTTGCTTTAAATTATCGACAAATATAATAACTTTCCCTTCAAAATTACTTTCTGTAGGAGACGGGAAAACACCTCATTCTAATAATAAAATTGAAATTGATTGAGATTTAGGAGTAAAAGTGGGTAACATCGAGGAATTAGTAACTAAGGTATACCCTGACATCAGCCAAATAGAAAACAAGGACCATCAATGGATGTGTCAAAGAGCAATATTGGCGACAAGAAATAGTAGCATTGACGAAATAAATGATATAATTTTTATTAAACTCCCAGGAGATATTGTAACCTACACATCCATTGATACCGTGATGGATCAAGAAGATGTAGTTCATTACCCACAGGAGTTCCTTAATTCCTTGAACCCAAGCGGCCTTCCCCCACATTCTCTTAAGTTAAAAATAGGTGCCCCAATAATTTTACTAAGAAATCTCAAACCACCAAATTTATGCAACGGGACCCGACTTCAAGTAAAATTTCTGCGCAATAACGTCATCGTTGCAATAGTTTTGACTGGTCCAGCAGTTGGTCAAACAGTCCTCATACCCGGCATCCAAATGATACCCAACGACTTACCTTTCAATTTTAAAAGAATACAATTTCCGCTTAAATTATCTTTCGCAGTCACAATAAATAAATCACAGGGGCAAACATTCAAACACGTGGGGATCGATTTACGCCAAGATTGTTTTTCGCACGGCCAGTTATAGGTATGTCGCGTTCTCAAGATCGGGTTGTGGCGAAAATCAATATGTTCTTCTGCCACAAGATAATAAAACAAAAAGTGTAGTATATGCAGAAGTTCTTTAAAATAATTAAATTTACTTTAAAAATTGTACAGATATAGTTTGGAACGCGAAAAAAAAACATAGATTTTATCCTGAAAATTCTGCGGGAACTGGACCATTCCAAAAATCCCGCAAGAACGGGAACTATATGGGAAGAACCAAAAATCTGCCACTATTCCACGCGAACGAAGTCGCGGGCAAAAGCTAGTATTATATATGCCATAATGTTTGTAACACCCACCAGGAAATGTCAGAGACCCTATAAAGTATATACATATGTATGTACGGTATATAAATGATCAGCGTGACGAGCTGAGTCGATTAAGCCATGTCCGTCTGTCTAGACTATTATAGAATATAGCTGACATACAGACTGACCGATCAAAATTTTGTATGAAATCTTTTGTACTTGTGAAGGGTATTATAGATTCAGTGCAACCGAAGTTAACGTTTTTACAGGTTTAATATAAAGTTTTGCAACACCAGAGTGTATTTCCCTGCCTTTTACCTTTGAAAATTGCGAGAGTATAAAATGTTCGGTTACACCCGAACTTAGCCGTTCCTTACTTATTAAATACCAATTTGCTGAACTTTAGATCCGAACATATTTTTAAGAGCTCTTTACTGTACAAAATGATTCAGCAGACTTCTTATTAAAACTAGTGTTGATAACTTTGCTTTTAATTCAACATTGCCGCAAACTAGTTTTAAATTAGCGTATAAGAGATATACCGTATTATTTTTTATGTGATGAAATTTTCTGTTAGTACAATGAATTTTTTATATGAATGAATTGATCGCTGTTCTTATCATTTTTGTGGACTGTAATTTTTTTTAATATTCTGACACTCGTATTAAATACTTATATATAAGATTAGATATAGAAGGAAAATAAACTTTATAAAAGGGTAAAATTACATATCTATATATATATGCATATGTATATTTTTCAGTGCTGATGGTCATTATGAAATCACCCTTTTGACAAAAGCAACTGTCTATAGTAGTGGGCTTGTTATGTGGCAACCGCCTGTGGTCTATAAATCATCTTGTTTAATCGATGTTGCACATTTTCCATATGATGTTCAAACATGCATACTAAAAATAGGAAGTTGGACTTATGATGGTTTTAAGGTGCTCGTATAATTTTAAGACGTACATATATTAATAGATATTCCTGATACGAACATAATAATGGGCTAAGCTCAATAAACTTACATGTGGAAGAATACATATAAAATTTACTAAACATTACGACATTTCTGCAAAAATATATTTCTATAAAAATATACTAAATCAATGTTTACTATATTTAAAAATCATATCTTAAATATAATGAGAAAAAATTTGTAAACATTTTGGCAATTGTAAGGAGGAAAATTATAACAAAAATTAGAATAAAAGTTGCTTCAACCCAAATTTATAAATTAACAGAACTGGTTTAGCATTGTTAGCCGTAATATGAAAGCAGAATTAAGTTTGTTTTTTATAATGTCCCCCAATGTCAAAAAAATTGCACACCTATTCCAGGGTATATTTATCTATTATATATTAAATTGGATGAGCAGTTATATGGTAACACTTTACCCATTTTAAGGGTAAAGTGTTACCATAATTTTTTTTTTAATAAAACTTCAAATCTGACTAAACATATTAGAACCAATCATAAAATATCTACGAAAGTGATAAGTTCTGGCGTAACCAAACATTTCACACAATTTGTAAAAAACAAAGACGGAAAAATACTTTCGGGTGTTACAAAGTTTTAAAATAAAATCGAAGGTAAAGGCTAAGTTCTGGTGTAACCGAACATTTTTTACTCTATCGACGAAATCGTGAATGGTTTCAATCGAATTTTGGTATTTTAATAAGTTATATTATAGGTCAGAAACTCAGCTTTATTGCTATATTTTACTTCACGTTAGCTGAACGTATACATATTTAAATCATCTTCAAATGGAACATATCTTACATAAACTCAAACGAAGAGGCAAAATTAAATATATATATTGACAACCAAGAGATCGGAATTCATTATATTTAGGATTGAGGTTAAGATCAAGGTCTAGACCAACTCCATTCAGATTTAGCTCTAAATGATTAATATAATTTTATAATATTTAAGGAAACTTGTCCACTTAATTTCATTAAAATATCACTTATGTTGACCAACCTAGAAAAATTAAAGTCAGCTGGAAATCTATGCACCGTATATTGAGGGCAGATAAAGGTCTGGGATTGTTGGATAACAATTTTAAATTGACATAATGACCGAGATATTCGGTATAAAGTCAACCGGAAGTTTGAGAATCTTATATTAGGTATACGGGAGCTAGGAATAGCATGTTTGGCATTTCTACATATTTTTTACAGAAAAATATGCTTTTTGAGCTTAATTAAGGTACCTCACAGACCATCAGCAATATATAAGGAGCAAAGTCAACAGAGTGTTTAAAATTCCCGACATAAGTTATATGGTGGTTAGAGACGATTTTATACTTTCTAGGCAGAAACATGCACATGCATGTGAAAAACACCCTAACTTAATTATTAAGATTAATCACATATTGATCGATATATGCGGTATAAAGTCAACCGAAAGTTGGAAAGAGAAGTTGGCCAAGGAAGTATTCTTCCGATTCAACTAATTTGTGACTTACAGAAAATTTATTATGAGGAAAGGACTCTTTCCGAATTTCTATCATATAACTCACAGATTGATAGCGGTGCCGCGCCAATCGTCCACACTTGACATTGGCTCCTTTAAAGCCGTCTAGTAGCATCTCGGGTGTAAAATTGTATGTCTCTGGCGCATTTCTTTAAATATTTATCGCTCTATTAGTAATTTTTAACAAAACCATTGTATGGGGTGTGCGCGCGGTTATAACCCGAATGCACCCATTTTGACAGAGTGGGTAGGGATGCCAAAGATATTTTTCTGAGCGAATTTGGTTATGATAGCTTGAATAATTAAGGATTTAATTCTGTTCTGTATAAGTTGCAAATACATCAGATAATTGTGTATCGTTTAAGGCGGATTTGTGGTTGTGGAGTTTTTTCCACTCTTAACTGTGTTTGGACTTTGCGTGTTGCAACACTGAATTTTGCTACAATTACACTTTTAACGCACATTGTCATAAATTTCAAGTAATGTTTATTTATTTCTCGTCAATTAAAAAAGTTTTGCATGCAAGCACTTTATTCTACTCGTTAAGTTAATATGGCAGCTATATGCTATAGTCATCCGATCTATACAATTTCTTCGGAGATAGCATTATTGCCTTAAATAATAATCAATGCCAAATTTTGTGAAGGTACCTCGTCAAATGAAAGAGTTTTCCATACAAGCACTTGGCCCGATTGTTCAGTTTGTATGGCATATACAATAATATAGTCCGATATTAGCAGTTCCGACAAATGAGCAGCTTGTTAGTCAGAAAATGACAGGTACAAAAGTTCAGATCGATAGTTTAAAAACTGAGGTACTAGCTTATACAGATAGACCCAAGCGCCTTCAATAAACCCTCCAAGTTTATTGCCTTGTCGTATTTTGCTTTCATCTTATCGCTCATAATTTTGGTGCACTGTCTCACCATAGCATGTATATCCCGGTAGTCGAAGATCATTACCAAAAATTACCCTTGCTGGAGTCTGCCCCGTTGTTTCATGTACAGCAGACCGATAAGAAATCAGAAACAAGGATATATGGGTATCCCAATCCTTTTGATACTTGTCCACAACTTTCCTCAAATGTTCTTCCAAAGTTCGATTGAATCGTTCTACCATACCATCGGACTGCGGATGTAGTGCAGTTGCACGGGTTTTCCGGATACACAGCTTCTGGCATATCTCCTGTATTAGAGCTGAATCAAAATTTCTCTCTTGGTAAGAATGTAATTCTATTGGAACACCATATCTCGATACCCAATTGTTGATGAATACATCCGCTCCTGTTCCTGCCTCTTGGTTAGGAATTGCGTATACCTCTGGCCATTTGCTGAAATAGTCCAAGACTACCACAACATATCTGTTTCCTAATTTACTGATGAGAAATGGACCAGCTACATCCATCGCCATGACCACCATGATACACCATGACTCCTGGACCTCGGCCCTTTAGCAGCAATGCACTCGACAGAACTGGCGATCCCCTCCATAACTGATTGACGACAACCAATCCAATAAAATCTTTGTTTTAATTTCTTCAAGGTTTTAGTGATACCCATGTGTCCTTCACTTGGACCGTTGTGCAGCTCGTTGAGAAATTCAGGAATTCTTACTTTTGGAACAGTCATCAGAGTTCGTAAACTTTGTCCATCTTCGCTTTCCCATACGTGATACAAGCAGCCAGACACTAACTTCAAACTATTCCATTGTGCCCGATAAGCCTTTGCGACTGGGCTTTCTGCAGCTATTTCTTCTCTCGTTGGACGTTTATTCATCTCCAATCCGTGAATTACACTTTTTAAATCTGGATCCTCTTGCTGACTTTTCCGTAGCTTCTCCGGGTCCCAGTATGATGTTATAGTCATTAATCCGACATCTATAATGTCTTCTTTGGCCTCAGCTTATGAGCAATGTCCATACTTATGAAAATGTTTGATGCACTTCACCAACGCCAGTAATTCCCTCCGAGTAACACAATAATTTCTCTCTGGCTTGCTTATGGTCTGGCTGTAATACGCAACCACTTTCTCATGCCCATCAATGACTTGTGATAGAACGCCTCCTACTGCAAATCCACTAGCATCCGTATCCAAAATAAATGTTGATCCTGGGACCGGGTATGCTAACATTGGCGCAGTACTTAACTGTTTCTTCAGAGTTTGGAAAGCCACTTCCTGTTCTTTATTCCATTCGAAAACTCTGTTATTTTTCGTGAGTTCATGGAGGCTACTAGCTACGCTGGCAAAATTTGGAACGAATCGTCTATAATAAGTACACAGTCCAAGGAAACTTCGCAATTCATGTAAATTTTTAGGAGCGGGCCAATCTCTTATTGCCTCGATCTTTTCATTAGATTTACAAATGCCCTCCGTTGTCACTTTGTGTCCTAAGTAGCACACTTCCTGTTTGAAGAGGGAACACCTCCTTGGGATCAGCTTCAGACCAGCGCTAGCTATCCGTTGGAAAACCTCTTCCAAGTTCTTAAGGTGTTCATCGAAGTTTTTACCCAACACGATGATATCGTCGAGGTAAACCAAACAGGTCTTACAGTGTATTCCTTTTAATACCTGGTCCATAAGTCTCTCAAAAGTAGCAGCAGCGTTTCATAATCCTAAGGGAATTACGGTAAATTGTCATAGACCATATCCAACGCTGAAATCCGTCTTTTCTTTGTCTTCTTCGTTTACCTCCACTTGCCAATAACCACTTATTAAATAAATCTCTGATGGTTCGATTACGCCGCTTTCGCTCATTTTAACTGGCTTACAACTTCACGTTTTGCTAAGGGAATGCTCCGAGGAGCCTGGCGGATTGGTCTTGCATCCCCTGTGTTAATAAAATGTTTCACAACTTTGGTTCTTCCTGGCTTGGCATCGTCTTTATCAAATATGGATGAGTATCTGAGAAGAAGTCGTTTAGCCGAAGTTTGATAGTTTACCTCTAGTTTCTCGGTTCATGCGTTAATTTCGCTCGATATATCGTTTTCGCCCATGGAATCTTCCTCAAGACCTATTTCGCAATTTATCACGGCCTCAATCTCTTGATACTGCGCTAATACAGCTCCTTTGGAGAGTTTGATTGGTAACTTGCCCTCAGTACTCTTACTGGAACACGTTTATCTTGTCTTGTCATAGCCAGGGTTTTACCTATAAGTACAAGTGGAACAATCCTCAACAATCCATCACTTGTTTGGCTCATAGTTTCCATCTATTTCTGCCCAAATAACTGCTTCTGATGTTGGTTTAATCTGCTGGCTCTCTGTTGTTATCACTCGTCTAACGTTGTACTTATTATCGTAACGGAACATAAGTGGTACTTCCATATTTCTATAGGACATAATCCTGTTTTTCATGTCAATTTTGATTGCTTGATTCGCTAGAAATTCTACTCCAATTATGACTTCGTCAACGATATCTGCTACTATAAAATTGTGTAACACGGCTGCCTTTCCAATTACGATCTCGCAC